CCATCTACATAAATTATAATGGCATATAGTTTATAGGACATGTGTTATCGTCACTTGTCCACTAGGTGCTAAGCATAACTCCCACAAAATATTCATTATTCTTAAGTTTTCTTAGCAATCATGAGTCATGGATAATCTTCACTTGTTTTAGTAATGGAGGTCATGGGTAATCGTCGTGTGCCTCATTATTATAATAGCTCCTTATATTTGATTCATTTTAGGTGAGAAGACCATTCAACCTTAGAATTCCTAATGTGAGAAAAACCTTTCACATTCAAGCTTGTAAGTGTATATGAGAAATCCTTTCACAACACAACAATGATAATATTGATACTTCACTCGCAAAGCATTTTTATAGCATTTTTATCAACATCATAAGAACATGCATACATTCATGGAATCCTCTTTCATAGTTTAAAACCCAATTTCAATATAAAAATCTAGAAAATATAAGTTAAGCATGGGTTCATGGGAATTCGTCTTAAAACATGGAATTATGTCAATTCATTCATAATAGTTCATTAAACAGTCAAATAAATCAACATTAAAAGGAACCCATGACATAGAAGAAAACCTTAATTTCAATTGGAGATTTCTAACTTTAAAATTGGAAAAATAATTAGGAACACTATCGTGGGAAGAGCTCGATAGATGAAGACTATCATACATGAATGCTAAAAGATTGACTCCAATGGTGGAATTGGAGACTAGAATTGACAATCTAGGTTGACTCCTTCATCTTCAAGCAGTCTAAAGAGAAATATTTTAGAGAGGAAGACTTGTTCTTCTTTTGAGAAGTTAAGAGAATGAATTTATTTTGGGTGAGTTTGGGTGTTAGAAATGATATATACGACTTCTAGGTAAGGGTAAAATGACATAGTATTAGGATAGAATAATTAGAAAAAGACCCAAAAGACCCTGACTAAAAAACTGACGTGAACCATTTTACAGTGACCTTCATGGCCCTTCAAGGACTCTACGAGCCGTTATGGCAGTCGTGGTCCTTGACCAGTGGCAAAGAGAGAAACCTAATATACTTGACCCTCTTTATGACCACCTTAACGGTCCGTGATTCTCACTACGGACCTTCTATGGGTTTGTGGGAGGGGAACCTTCTTGGACAGGTTCAGGAAACTCTTCACGAGAACTATAATGATACGTGGTCCATTCATGGCATATCAAAGGCTCCATGGAGTGTCCCATGGCCTAGTTTTGGGCTGGTAAGTGCCTGCTTGGCCCATTTTCTAGCCTTCTTGATTATGAGGTGTTATAAGAGGTGCATTGAAGAGTTCGTTGCTAACTGCTCGAATTGCCAACAAGTCAAGGTAGAACACCAAAGGCTTGGTGGTAGAGCCTAGAAAATAGATCTTCCAGAATGGAAGTGGGAAATGATTACTATGGATTTTATTACTGGCTTGTCGCGATCTCATAAGATTCATGGTTTGATTTGGGTGTTTGTAGATCCGATGACTGAATCAGACCATTTCTTATCGATAAAGACTAAAAATTCAGCAGAAGATTATGTCAAGTTGTACATTCAAGAGATAGTTCAACTTCATGGAGTTCATGTGAACACAATTCACCGCTCAGTTTTGGAAGTCTTTCCAGAAGGGTTTAGGTTCGAAGGTAAATCATAGTATTGGTTTTCATCCTCAGACTGATGGGCAAGCAGAGCGCACAATCAAGACCTTAGAAGATTTGTTGAGGGTATGTGTCATAGACTTAAAAGGTAATTAGGATGATCACTTTCCTCTCATAGAGTTTTCTTAAAATAAAAGTTATCACTGTAGTACCCAGATGGCTCCTTATGAGGATCTTTATGGGTAAAGGTGTAGATCTCCTATTGGATTGTTTAATTTTGGTGAAGCTTATTTGATCGGTCATGACTTGGTCAACCAAGCTATGGAGAAATTGAAGATCATTCAAGAAAGGCTAAAAAAAAGTGCAAAGTTATCAGAAATCTTATTTAGATGTTAGGAGGAGAGACTTAGAATTTGATGTTGATGAGTGGGTCTACTTGAAGGTGTCATCCATGAAGGGTGTTATGAGATTGGGTAAGAAGGGAAAACTTTGTCCACGGTACATTGGTCCTTATAGGATATCCAAGAGAATTTGTAATGTACCTTATGAGTTGGAGCTACCGACTGAGTTAGCAGCAGTGGATCTGGTATTCCACATTTCTATGTTGAAGAAGTGTATAGGCGATCCTTAACTCATTGTACCTACTGAATGTATTGGTATCAAGCACATCACATCTTATGAAGAGGTGCCCATTCATATTCTTGATCACCAAGTTCACAAGCTAAGAATTCAGGAGGTTGCATCAGTCAAGGTATTATGGAGGAATGAATTTGTTGAGGAAGCTACTTGGGAGGTTGAGGAGGATATGAAGAAGAGATACCCACATCTCTTTCCTTTCGGAGAAATTCCAAACCGATGTACTATCTTTTTATAAAGTACTTTTAAGTTGATATGTTGACTTTAATATTTACATGTTATGTATTGGGTTGGGGTTATTAAATGCTTCCCACCCATGTTTTTCTTAGTGTGATCTCATTTGAGCACGAATATTCCCAAGGGAGAGATATTGTAACACCTCAAAAACTTTGATCAGTTTTCAGTTTTGGGTCAACTTGAAACTATCATATCTTTTAGCATATAATGAATTAGGTGGCCCATAAGGTATCAAATCGAAGGTCTCTATGTGCTATTTCCAACGCCACCGAGTTTGCTAAATTTCGAGCTCCAAGTTAAAAGTTATGACTGTTTTAGCTAAGCCTCCCAAACTAAGACTTTTCATCTGTTTAAGGGAAGGGCTATTTTGGTCTTTTCCTTACCCCACTAAGCCTAAAACGTTTTTCACATCCATGTTAAGGGTATAATCTGAATCGGACCACGTTTCAATATTCCAAAATCCTTAGGGATTTTGGAAAAAGTTTTAAGAGGAGAAAAGAGAAGGGTTTCAAGCATTCTTTCAAGAACGGAGGATTTCGCCAAGAACAAGTGTTCTTTCAAGGTATGTAAGCTTCTCATAGTGTTGGGTTTGTTCGCCCTCACGCCAATCCTATAATTTTTTTAAGTAATTCGTCCATGAGATTGTTTATATTGAGATTCTTGAGAAGTTCTTGAGTTTTAGCCCCATTCTTTAGCAATGGGGATTTTCAATTATTGAGGTGAGGGTCTTGCGAATGAGTGATGTTTCTTGATAGATTTTGCGTGGCATTTCGTTTAATTTGTGTTGGGTTTATGAATACAAGTGAGTATTGAAGAAATCATTCGATTCTACATGAGTCAGGACTTTAAATTAAACAAGCAAATTCATCGATTTCTGGGTAGAGGGATGGGGCTTCGCGCCATCCATAGTGACTAAACTACTAGGCAGTAGTTTGGGGCTTCACCCCAAAAACTCCTCAGTAGTTTGGGGGCTAGTGCCGCACGCCACTTTGTGCACCTGGGTCCCCAGGTCCCTTACATTCCGTTCTTCTTTGCGTGAGTCTTCCCTCGAATCGTACCTATGTTCTCTTCTTGACATTCTCTCTTAAAGGCTTCATTAATCCTTGAGAGATCATGCATATCCTAATCAAAAATCTTAATTTACATATTTAAATTAAATTAAAGTTAAGAGGAAAGTTCAAGAGGACCTTTTTAGTCAAATTTGAGAACCCATTTGAACTAAAGATTTGAACCTAGTCTTGAGTAAATGAGTATGAGGATGACGATAGTTGAGTTTCATGTTCAAAATTAGTACACGGGAACTAAGTATACAAAAGTATGTAATACCTTTACATTTGAAAATAGAGACGATTAACCCTCAACTACACCTCATCCAATACTAGGTGTAGGCGATCATAATCTAGTATAAAACCCAACGAAGAGTTGGGGTCGAACACACAATGTGGGGTACAAGTTCGAATTCAGTTATGAAATTGTAAATGTGGTTTAATCAGTTATAGGAATAAAAATTATCGAAAACCTTAAGATAAATTGAAAGGGTGACACGAATGTCAGATGGGGGAATTGGTTTGTCAATTAACAACTAAAACAATTTGGTAAACAGGGGAAACAATAAGTAGAGAGAAATTCTTGGGGGTGCGATCTATTATAGGCTAATTTCATGTTTCTTCCAAAGAAAAGGATAGGCTCAAAGAGTGCCAAAAATGGTTCACACTTCTCACAAGGTATCCATAAAGACGTATACTATCAAATTAGGTTCACTCTTCACACATTGTGCCCAAGATCATTTCACTGGCTTGCTTCAATCAATCAATTGGACTAATGGGGCAAGTTCTAGGTATCATCAACCACATAGTTCAAGAAAACCTCACCACACATGGAATTCAACACAATTATCAAACAAGACTCTACAATTTTCAGCTAGAGTGCAGCGATCATCACAAGAGATCAACTCAATAAACGGCTAGTCACAACGAGATGGTAGGAGTTCACATATGATCTATGTAACTCAATGTGCCTCATCATAGCCGCACACATAGATCGTTCAATTGAAAGCACTATTCAAGTGATCAATATTGACCAAAGTTGACACTCAAATTTGCAAGAGAACAACCACATTCACGCATATTGATAGGTGGCAAAAATTTAAAATTGGTTCAAAACTATTTGCACAATAAAAATAATGGACCAATGCAGATCAAGAAAAAGATGTATATATATATATATATATATATAAACACAAGATAATATCCAACATTCACAAAACCAAAACCACCAACACAACAATATCCACAAAAACACCCCAATAGAGGTAGGTATGAAAATACCTCACCCCACCAAACAAAAATAGCAATTGTCCACAAATGCAAAGAAATAAGAAAAACTCTAAAAAGTTACAAAAATGGAGTAAAGAAAATCATCCTGCCAGGCTAAGACCGGGGTGAAGTTTGCATGTCTATAACTCCATCTGTCAGGGCATTAGTGCCCGGCTCAGCAATATCCTTGGCTCCACTAGAGCCCGCCATTGACGTCTCTCTAAGGGATACCTACACAACAGTCTCAACCATGGCACCCTCAAGGCCTACCAAATCATCATATACGGTAGAGTCATGGACACCAAGCTCCTCCTCATCAGTCTTCGCCTTAGACTCAGCATTTTCATCATTAGCTCTAGCAACATCTCCGGTCGTAGTAGCCAGACGAACCTCAGAACTAGTTGGAATATCAAAGCTCTGGACCTCAGGAATCTCCACTGTACCAATCAATATCGATAAGTTAGTGGACTTCAGCTCATCCACATCTCTCCTCATACATGCAACATAGGCCTTTGGGGCAATCATAGTGGCAGAATCACCCCAACCCTGCTCGCAAGCCTCAACCCGCACCGTAAGGGCAACTAGAGCCAACCTCTGGCTATCAATAAAATCATTATGATCTCTCATCTCAGCCCTAATAGAAGCTAAGGCAGCAGAAATAGTCTGCTCTATTAGCCCAAGCACAACGGCCTCTACCCGGGAGGCACGCATATCAACAGATTGGGCAAGATGGCCCATCTTATACAACATGGCCTAGGTGATAGGGGTCAGGAGGCAGTAGCTGTAGAAGAAGAGGAAGGGGTGCAACATGATGTGAGGTCAAAATACATATTTTTAATCATTATTTGCCTCACATTTAGTATTTATATTTGTCCTTTATGAGCATAAATTTTATGGATTGTGCTAAATTGTGTATTTTATTTGTAGGATTAAATTGATGGAAAATTGGAGATGTTTGGAGCTAAAACGAATTAAAGATGAAAAGTTGAAGAAGGAAATCAAGCAGACAGCTTAATGGAAATAAGTTAATATAATATTAATATAATTTATATGCAAATAAGGAAAGAAAAACTTACCTGCTGGTCCACGTATCAGGCAGCAACATCAAAGAAGTTACACGCACAAAATTGGAAGCTACATGCCGAGAAAAAGGAATCCAATTCCTTTCGGGTTTTGATTTCCTAATTTGTTTGGACTCAATTATTTTATTTAGGGTTTCCTACATCTATAAATAGGGCATGGAAAAAATTATTAGGGAGGCCAAGAACCAAGATACAAGACATAATATAAATTTTCTTCTAGCTTAGGAACTTTGGAAGAGCTGCCGTGGAGGCCGGAGAATTGTGGTTTATTCTTTCTTCTCCTTTATTATTTATTTGTATTCGTGATTAATAAAAGATAGTTTAGCTATTGTTCTTAACTTTTTATGATTAACACAAGCATATTTATTTTAATAAATTTTGATTGTGTTTTTGAGATAATGAGTAGCTAACTTTCATAACTAGGGTTGTGGGAACCATGAGCGATTAACAAAGTATGAATAGTAAATAAGCAATTCTTGACTAGTATTTTGCATGCATTGATAATTCTTTCGTTTAGAAGTCTTTTTAACGGTGGCCAACGTTAGAACTCGCCTTGTTACTACTTGCCGGACCAAGGAGGTAATTAACAAGAAAAGAATTATCAACATAGATTTAGTGTGATACTATCTAATAGGCTAGTGTCGATTGGTGCGAAGTAATAACTAAGCCAAACATCGATTATGATGTCTAATATGAGGTAAAGGTAAGGGTTAGTAAATTATACACACGTAGCCGGACCAAGGTGCGGGGTGAAATTCTCTAGATGCCGGACCAAGGATTTAGAGATACCTAACTTATCACTTTGCATGTAATACACTAGAAAATGATTACTATTATTAGAATTACTGCGTTATGAGTTTATGGGGAACACATTCCTAGTTACTTTTAATAATCTGAATATAAATAAATACTTAGTTCAAAGCTATCTTTTTATTGTTTTTATTTTATTTTATTTCAATTTAAATCCCCCATTTTTATAACGACTATCGAGTTAAATATTTACTATTGACAATATTCTTCCATATTCTCTGTGGGATCGACCCCGACTCATAGTTGGGTAAATAGATTGCATACGATCGTTTATATTTCTTTTCAAGAAGTATATTTGAACGTTATCACAACAATAGAGTTAGGGGAGGCAGAAAGGGAAAGACCAGAGGTACTTGTAGGCTCACTGGCCTGAGGCTGTAGTATCGCCTTGGTCAGTAATATGTCCACGTCGACTACTGGGGATGCATCCGTCGGTGCAACTCTTTTCCTATCGGCCTCATCTCTCAAATACTCCGTCTCAATATGTCGGATGTTAGTAGAAGAGGTGGGGGTAACCTCCACATTCGTCTTCTCATTCATCGGGAAAAATGTCCGCCTACACAGCTCAGTGATCATCACCGGAAATGGAATGGAGGATAGACTCAAGCCTGTCATGCGGGTGACCTAGGTTCATTTCCTGGTAGCGACACCATTTTTATTAACACTCAACTACAACTCATCTAATACTAGGTGTAGGCGATTGTAATCTAGTATAAAACCAATGAAGAGTTGGGGTCGAGCCCACATGGAGCGGTACTAGTTCAAATTCATTTATGAAGTTGTAAATGTGGTCTAATCGATTATGAATAAAAATTATCAAAAACCTTAAGATAAATCGAAAGGGTGACACGAATGTCAGATGGGGGAATTGGTTTATCAATTAACACCTAAAACAATTTCAAAAATAGGGGAAACAATAAGTAGAGAGGAATTCTTGGGGATGTGATCGATTATAGGCTAATTTCGCTATATGGGTAATTGGATTCACTAACAATTGCAGAATCAACGTAGGTAGGCTAGACTAAAGATGCAATAGCTTTCTATCGAACAACTATTACGATTCAAGCGATTTCTCTCGAATCTCGACAAGCTTAACAATATAAACAACCCAAAACCCTAATTTATCTACTGTCTCTAGTTAGATAGGTAGAATCGAGTTTAGAATTCACTATCTCGAGCTAGATAGGTAGAATCGAGTTTAGAATTCACTCTCTCGAGCTGAACCCGCATCAACCCAATACCTACAATCATTAATCAAAAACCTTAGTTGTAAAGCTCTTTCTCAAATAAGCCCATAACATTAAGTTAGATTTAAATTTGCAACTAATTCTCATAGATTAATACACATCTATCGATTAAACTCACTTCAATTAAGCATTTCAATTAGTAAATAAATTGATAAGCTAATTAAGTCAATAATCACATGATCACACCTTAAGAATTGAGGTTTTATCCACACATAATAAAAAGGAAGAAACAATTACCAATTATGTTTGCCATGAACAGGGTAACGATTCCCAAATCTCTACAATGCATCAAATCTACTTAATTAAAAAACCCAAATGAATATTCCTCAAAACTAAGTCTCAAAAGCTCTGAGTTCTACAATGGAAAACTTGGGAAAAACTTCAAAAACTCAAAGAGAAACTCAAAATTTTGTAGACTCTCTTTTCTGCTTTTCAAATTTCAATTAATAGTTTCACAAATCTTTGCCTTCAAGACCGTTACGCAAAGTAAGTCGAGCATCGCCATCTAAGTCGGTGATGTGCCCTTTGTTCCATTCCTTCACCGCTTTGCCTTGACTCTTTATCCTCAGGGTTCTGTGACTTTAGGCGATTATGATCGAGGTCATCGATCCATTCGGCGGTCCGCTGACTATCCATTTCTATTTTCAAGTAGGTTCTTCACTAGGGTTGGCATGCAGGAACTTTAGGCGAGCTAAGGAGATTTTTTCCTCATTAGTCACCAATCCGTTCAGCGGCTTGCCGAGTGGTCTTGGTGATCACCAAGATTGCCTTCCTTCAACTTCTTCAGTTTTTTCACTTTTTTTGCTCGGTAATGCCCTTGCCTTGCTCCTTAGACTTCATTGTTGCAAATCAACACTTTAACATCAGTTTAGAGCATAAATTAGTCATTTAAGACACTAAAACTGTGAAAACACAACCCTAAATGAGTCAAAATATATGACTCATCAAGATAAACATTGATTTCTAAATAAGTTTACGAGTTCATAAGAGTTTTAATGTATTACCTCTTTTAGGAGGTTCTTTTGAGTAATTACCTCAAATTGAGAAAGAGAAATGTTTTAAACATTTGAGCTTGAGTTATATATTCTTTGTAGTTGTATTGAGAAACAATATGGGGATTAGTTCAGACAACTCAAAATCAACATAAATCATGTATGCCAACGTGGGTAAAGGATCAAACTTTTTGGATGATCCTTATTTCTTTTAAACATAACTTAGTAAATCCACTTAGTTTAGATGTTCTATACCCTGGCAAGGTGTAGGACAGTTCTAGCAGTGTGGGTGAGACGCGGTATCATCACGTAGCTCATAATGATGGTTATCGTTTAGAGAATCTCCCAAATAAGAGTACAGAGTTTGTTATTGTATTTTTTTTATAAATTTTTGAGTTGATATCTACTATTTTAAAATCTGTAAGTATTTCATCTCTTATTGTTGCTTTCATACTGAGTTGAGTTGAGGTGAGTATTCCTTCCACCTTGTAAGATAAATTATCTATTACTTTCAGTTTTCCCCATACATGCTCGTACATTCAATATACTGACGTCATTTGACTTGCATCTTTTTATGATGCAGATACAGGTATTTAGGGTCATCAATAGATGTTCCGTTGATAACATTTGCATTCCAGTTAGCTTTGTTGAGCCTTCTATCTTTCCGGAGGGTTCCACAATTACATTTTTAGCTTTGTTCAGATGTCATGGGTATTTTCCTGACATATATCATATTATTTAGAGGCTTAATAGACAATAGTAGTCAAGGAGTCTTTCACTGTTTCCTTGTTGACGTTTTGAAAATCTTGAGACAATCTCTTATGTTTTATTATGTTTTTCAGACATTTATTGAGTAGATTTATAGTTGAGACAAAGTTGAGTTAATCTTTGCATTTAAATTTCTTGTTTTATTGATTAAGTCTTCTGCTGAGTAGTGAACCATGCCAAGGGTTCTCTTGGGGACCAGCGATGGTTCTCGAGTGTCAGCCACATCCAAGGTGTAGTATTGGAGTGTGACAGTATGTTGGGGGTGGTATAGGGGAATGGAGTGGTAACACCGAGGTACTTAGTTGTGGGAGATCTTTGTGTTGATAGGTGATTAATTGTTTGGGTGATGTGGGGGTTCAGTATTATCAGGTAGTGGTGTAACGGTGGGTAGCAATGAAGGAAAAGATAAAGTTTGAGAACTACCTGATGTAACTGAGACACCTTCTAATCCGATATGCATTGGGTTTGGTAATGGAGAGTGCACTGGTAGAGTATTTGGTAGTGGATGACAAGAGGCTAAAGTTGATGGCTTATTAGTCATGGGTAGAACATCAGAAAAAATTTACCAAGCAATATCAGTGCTCTGTTGAATTTTTAGCTTGGAAAAAATATTATGAAAAGGATAGGTGTCTTTAAAAAACTGAACATCCCTGGATAAGTACAAATTATTTTTGAAGAGATGAAACCATAGGTGGTAGTAATATTTATTAAAAAATCCTAAATATACAGAAGGACTAGATTTTTGCTCTTTCATATTTTTGACATATAATTTAAGCCACAATTAACATAAACAACCAAAAATTCTAAGGGAGTCAATTTTGGAGCCTCTTGAAATAAAT